TTAATATCTGTTCAAAAGAAGACATCTGTGTTAAACATTATCTTTTATGAAAGATTTGTAAGTGAAAGTCAATATTCGCTGTGTCCATGTTACCTGGAACACAAATACAAATCTTGGCAATGAAATTTGAACGATGCAATCCATCGTTTTATTAATGTTTGTACAACAGTGTCTGAACACAAATCCAAATTGGATTTTAGGTGCTTTGGTTATGTGCCCTTTGAACACAAGTGTAAATAATAATTATTCTTTCTTTATGATGTTAATTGTCCTGAATCAATGCATCCTTCCCTGTGTTCACGCACCATGCAGAGTTCTCAGGTCCTGCTTCCCACATGGATACAATGTGCAGATCTTGGTGTTTCAGGTGGTGTTCAGCAGTGTAACACCATACTCTTTCATTCCTCCAAACACTGAGCATATTCTCAACACTATCACTGACATGAATAGATACACCTTGATCTGTTAGACTTGCAGCTGTAGAACAACTTGTCATCATGCATTAACTGACTGGAAAAACTTCAAACCTTCATATTCATGAAAACAGTTGTAGATTATGATCCCTGAGAATTTGGTATGTTATCTTGTTCACTTATAATACAATGAAACCGTGCTAGTCCAGAAAACCTGCCTTTAGATTATCTTGTCGGGAATTCTGTCATTGTGTGTCTGTATACGCATATATACAAGAAATGAAAATGAACAGTCTGGATAAACAAGGTCCCACTGTAGATGAAAAAAGCTGGACAATATGAGATTTGCAGAATTTTGTGGCAGAAACCTGTATGTGTATATATATGTCCTTTACCTGTGATCACATGCGGACAGGGTTGTAATGTACCAGTAGAAAACGTATGGTGTTCTAAACACTTGATTTGTGTGCAAATGCTCTTGATAACCACTGTTAGTGAACACTGATTTAAGATATTTTTTATCATCAATATGAACCATGGTAACTGTTAGATATGAACTTTAGTTTTTGATAACAATTCATTGAATCTGAAAACTTTTGCTCTTGTAATATATAACAAGAACATGAACAGTTCATAAAAGTTGTCAGATTTAAGATGATGCCTATGGTGACAGACTGACAGGAATGTGTGCATAATATTAATCATGATTTGTTTTCTGCAGTGATTTCATTGCAGAGTGAAAACTCTTTTGAAACATTTTGAAACTTGCATGATATATATTTTTGAAAACATTGTGTCTCAAACCAATTTCTTAACTGTCCATTATTAAAACATAATCAACTTTTCCTCTTGTGATGTGCATTGATATCAGGTATCAAAAGTATCTGTTTTGACTTAACAGTAGTATTTGTGGTAAGAATCATGATATGAGTTGTATTGTGGGTAAATACCAAATGTATCATGAGCAAAGTATTCTAATGTACTCCTGACCCAGTCAAATACTGTATTCACTGTTGTAAGCATCTTGTTCCAAGGATCGTTCCTTGATTAACTTCTAGTTTATTTTTTTAATCTTTATAATGCCTGGAATTTAGGCAACATTCCTTCTTCTCTTGTTTATATAACAGATTATATTTGCATTGTAGATCTGCCTGATAAACTATTATCAACAAGTTTCATCAACTGAGCTCAGTCTCAGACAAAAATTCTAAAAAAAATGAATAAGAAATTTCCTTTGTCAGATTCCTAAGTTTTGTGAATCCAAACAGGTCTATGTATCCTGAGGAACCTCGGTATTATTGTGGCGAATATGGTATATATATCTTTACACTTCCTGAAAAGCATCATAATATATGGAGGTATGCTGAAGTTACCTCATTAGTGCTGTCAGTACCCTGTATGTTTTTCCTAGCTTTTGCAAACACCAGCAGTGTTTTTGTTATATCATGCCAGGAATCGTGTTCCATTTTCATATCACATTATACATACAAAGTATTTTTGAGAGGAGCATATGAATACAAATTAAATATAGATTGTTTCATCACATGAAGTCCCTATTCATTTGTCAGACTGACTAAATATAGTTTGCTATGTCTGTTTTTTATATCTTTCTTCTTTATTTAATGTAGCATTTGACACATTTTGAGAATACACAGTATGTCAGGTTATTTTGGTTATTGTTAGTTGTTTTTAGCCAGTATTGTTTTTCTAGTATGTTTTATGTACATGCACAAAGAATATATTGTCTGCTACAGTCACGATGTAGTTGATATTCATGGCCATATTGCAGATTTCTCTTGCCACTATGTGGAATAAATTGATACTTGTATAATGATCGTTTTGTTTTCATTAGAATGTGTTAGGTACTTCGATAACAAACACACATCCCACATAATGTCTAAACTTGTGTTTGGCCCATTTTCAGCATATCTGAAACAAGGACAAGAAGCTGAACACTGTAATTCCAAGGCAACTGTTAGCATGATTACTGCAGGATACAATCAGCTTTGACAAGGACACCGTTGACAAATAGCATTGACAAGTATAGTATGACCAGAAATTATTGAGAATTTTAGGAATATGTTTAATTGGATTTCTAGTATAAACAACCTTGACCAGCTATCAAGTGCTTGGTTTCATTCAAGAGAGACAACTCCGTTAATCCTTTTTCATTAGTTTGTGAAGAGTTATCCCCCTTTGTTTTCTTGCTAGCAGACGACATTTTCAGTGATCCTCAGTATGGATGATTTAGAGAAGAGGAAGTTGATTTTAGAGTATTATAACAGGGACATCAGATCAGCTAAAGTGATTTCAAGTAGAACAGGCATCCCTTTGTCCACTGTTTATCGTGTTTTGAAAGATATTGCAAATGGATATGGCATTGAGCACCAAGGAGGTGCAGGTAGGCCCAGAAAATTGACTGTCTGTGACAGGAGGCGGTTTGGTATTCTTGTTTCTAAAAACAAACGAAGGAGTTTAGAGAACTTAAGGCTGGATATGATTGATAGAGGAACTGTGGCTGTCTGTAAGGAGACAATTAGAACTGAGCTGCATGCAAAGGGGTGGCAGAAAAGTCGAGCAATTACCGATCATGAAACCTGAACAAAAGGAGCAAAGGTTGAACTGGTGCTTACAGCATAGAAATTTTAACTGGGACAATGCGATTTTCTCAGATGAAAGTTCTGTGTGGCCGTTTCCTAATACACTGAAATTGTGGACCTAACAAACTGAAAAACCTTTGTATCAGTGCCCAAAGTACAGTCCAATTTAACGTGTGGGGTGGCATATCTGTGTTTGGGGCAACACCCCTCTGTGTATTTGAAGGGAATATGAACAGTGAGCGGTACACAGATATTCTCGAGGGACATTTACTTCCATCTGCTCATGTGTTCTATGGAATTTTTTTTGATTTTCCAGCAGGACAACAACCCAAAACATCGTTCAAAGCATTCACAGGCCTGGTTTCGGACCCAAAATATGACATTATTAGATTGGCCAATTATAGCCCTGACCTAAATCCAATAGAAAATGTTTGGGGACTTATGAAGGAAAGTGTCAATAAGAAAAATCTGACAAATATTGCTGAAATGAAAGAAGAGGTGGTCCGATATTGGGACAGCATGGACCACGACTTTCTAACTTCTTTGATCAGTAGTATGCCCTGCCACATTGAAGCCTGCATTGCTGCCCATGGTGACTTGACAAAATACTATAGTCCGTTTAGCTCAAAAGCGGACCGATGAATTGCAATCTAACTCGAAAACTAATAAACATAAAATACTCAATGAAACGCTGATCATAATCAAAACATCATACCAACTCTGTGAGGTTTTTGCAGAATTTTTGTCCTAAAAATAAAAATTTGTTAACAATCTATCATTAAAATATTGACACAGTTCACTATTTGTTACGAGGGAGGAGTGCAGAGAAAGGGACAGCCAGGTGTTCGAGAACGGATGAAGACGGCACAGCACAGGTTAATGAATAAATAACTTTGTCTGTGAACGTGCTTCTCGAACACCTGGCTGTCCCTTTCTCTGCACTCCTCCCTCGTAACAAACAGTGAACTGTGTCAATATTTTAATGATAGTTTGTTAAACAACATTATTATTTTAAGGACAAAAATTCTGCAAATACCTCACAGAGTTGGTATGATGTTTTGATTATGATCAGCGTTTCATTGAGTATGTTATGTTTATTAGTTTTCGAGTTAGATTGCAATTCATCGGTCCGCTTTTGAGCCAAACGGACTATAACTGTTCACCTGTCTTTGAATCTGGAGTTATGTTCTGCTAATATTCACATTTAATACGTGAATAAAAAAAATTACAATCTTTAAATTCTCAATAATTTCTGGTTGTACTGTATTAGAGACCAGTGAATGTAAACTATTCTCTTCACAACATAACTCATTATGCTGAAAGTCACTGATGAATTATTGTGTAAGTTACCTACAAGGGGCAAGAGACAATTATGGAGATAATGATTATCACTGATTAACCATCTTAGATGAAAATATGCCAGAAACATACAGGTAAAATCAAGTTTGAAATCTGGGATGAAGTTTGAAGTTTACAAATCCAGCCACATCAGTCAAATGTCTGAAGATTTTTGTGAAAAGTAGTTTCATCATTCATTGCCAGCCATCATTGCACTATAATTACTATTTCCTTTAGATTTGGTAGGTTTTGTTTCTTAAGAAGTAACCTTCACAAAGAAAGGCTTGCATATGTTTTTGCAGGGACACCAGAAATGGGCTTCTCCATGTAGGGACTTGAACCCAGATCTTTGACACGATGAGTGAATGCTTTAACCTCTAGACTACCCGGCTCTTAACCATTTGAAACTGTGATCTTTCAAGATGATGTAGCCCATTTTCATCATGGAAGGACTGCTTGGACAAACAGGGTGGTGACCAAATTGATTGCATGTCATGGTACCAAGATGATGTGGATTATTGCTTACACTGTTAAGCATTGATTTGCCATGAAACTGTACTGGAATATTTCTGACTCTTTCATCAAACATACCTCTCATCCACTCCGTTCACTTACTCACAAGGATGGATAAAAAATACAAATAAATATGTGCAAATGTCAAATTTTTATTTATTTTCCACCTGAAGACTGTGCATTACATGTGCACAATACTTGCATTTTCTTGAAGTGCAAATAAAACTGATGTATACCAAAACATCATTGCAACAGTAATACATATTGCAACTATCATGAGTAACGCAGAGCACAAAGGTGACATGACTTAGATGAAGTGTGTTTGACCAAGCTCATTTTGATTTTTTCCAAGGGGCATTTAAGAGTGGTCTTCTCTCTTAGTAAGTAGGTGTCTATATTTCATGGCTAAAGAACTGATGTAATGTTCAGTTCGGGCATTTCTAATACTATTAGCACTTAATTATACTACACATCTGTACATACCATCAGAGTTGTTTTTAACATCAAGTAAGACCATAGGATGTAATAATTAATTTCAATAACGTAAATAATGCTGAACTGTTAAAAGACAAAGGATATATTTCTGTTATGATATATGCAAACAATTCCTAGGTAACACATCATAGCCTGCAACCTGTCATCACTTTAAAACTTTTAATATTTTCTTCAGAAGTCCTCAACATTCCATAATTTATTTTCACATGGTATTTTCTTTGTAAATATTTACTGAGTAACAGCTAGAGAGGACTATATTTACTTTAAATATGAAGTTGCTTGTGATAAACAATGACAGAAGCAGGGAAGGGATCAAGAAGACTATGTCAGTGTTAACTTTGCATGCTTCAGTCAAGGAGACTTCTTGTTCTTGGCCACAGGAAGACAGACCCTGGCCTGCCCCACCATCTGATTCTCCACTTAGTCAGTCATGTTGCCTCTTCTGTTTGAGAGCATGTTTCCACAAAAATTTCTTTCATCAGGACAGAGCAACATGCACTAAAGCACCCAAGCAGGCTCAGAAAACTACCCAAGCCAAGAGGCCATGAGGGGGGAACAAGTATCATGCTTGATGACTTGGACCAGATCAACACCGATGATAACGTCCCTGAGGTTTTGGAATAAGGACGGCCAGTGTCTGACAGTCCCACGAAGAAGAGTTTACACACCATTGGGAGTAGTCATGATACACAATCTTTATACATACAATCTGTAAGACTGATTTTGGAGAGCTGGGTTAGGAGCCATTTCATACACATTCATGGGGATTGTCAACAGGAATTACCACAGATTCAGCAACATGGTCACCAAGTTGAGTGCATGGAGCCCAAAGAAGTAAACTTTAGTGCAATGGTAACAAGCTTGGATACCATGATTTGAGATCTTGATACTGGGTCCAATCTGCCAGACAGAGAGGTCAGGAGACTATATAGTTATGCATATGGGATTGTATGTGTAACCAGAGATCATTATTATATGGTCTCTGGTGTAATATGTGCCAAACATCATCTAATCAGTTTCAGATCATGAATGAAAGTTGGACACCTATAACTTCCTGTTATGGTATATGCAGACATCTTTGTCCCTCAAGTCTCCAATCAAGAATATTGTCCAGAAATAAAACTCTGATAAATGTGATAAAAACTCACTAATCTGAGAATGTGAATAATCAGAACACATCTTTCACAAGCCTCCATTATAAAACCATATGATGAAACATTGCTAGCAAAATTACCATTGCTTCTCTGTTGTCTGCAATGTTACTTATTCCAGATTTTAAGAGCCAACAAACACTGGTACTCAATGAACCAGATATGAAGAGAAGTCACAACAGTGATAAAACACATACTTCAATAGAGATACACACAGTATTGTTGTATACATGGACGGAGTCGCTGAGTAATACTGATATCTAAAGAAATTTTGTATTTCCTTTTTACTAAGATGAACTTTGTTAACAGGTTATAACATATTTTAACACTGGAGCATGGATGCAAAATATTAGGATTTGCATATGTACAAACACACTTCATATAACAACCCTAATTCAATTTCCCTCAAATTTAACAGAGCATAATGTTAACCGTCATTAAATCACAGCATTTATTGCACACAACCATACACAAAATAAATACACTCTACTGAATTTCTTACTTATTTTTTAAAATGTATTACAGTGAAAGCTGCAGTCAAAAGGAGACTACATGCAAATCACATGTTACTTATATTGCAATTTCAAATGTGTTGCGCTTGGCTGAATGTCAGTAAACTGAAAATTCTATCAAACAAAGTGAAAATATAAATCACATCCAGCATGATTGAAAATAATTAACCTTAACTTCAAGAATGCATAAAACCACAAAACACAAGATTTTGCCTATAAGGGAACATGTCAGAAAATTGCAACCTTATGACTTCCAGTTTAAAGCAATTAAATTTTCATGCTTGGTTATAAATGCAAAACATTCAATGCAAATGACTTCAATCCTCACAATAAATTTTCATATGATACTTAACGGTAGTTATTTGACAAGGTTCACAATAATACCCATGTGAAGTCACATGTTCATTTTTTATACAAAAACATTTCTTTTGGAAAGTATGAGACTCTTTGCTAAAATCTTGGGTCATAAACACAAGAAGACTGGACTTGCATATGGAGAACACTAAACGTCAGACATCTCCATATAAAAGATTATATGATGATTTTTCTTTCATAAAAAAAATGGCCATAATATTATTCACATCTGATTACATTCTGACTTCAAACAACTTCAAACAATATATACCACTATTTCGTGAATAGGATCAGAAATGTATCATCACATATATCATGTAGAAATAAAAGAGAATAGTTGAAAACGGATTTTAATCTCTGCATAACAAAATAATTTAAATTTCAACACAATAACAGTCTAGAACAATCACAGAAAAAGATCATAAAAGTTATAAAATAATTTCATTAGATAAAGAAGTGTGAGTTCAATTTTCCAGCAAAATAAATCGTAGTTGATACTGTTAAAGCATAAAATTACATACCGAAAGTTGTAATATTTTAAAGAAAGAACATGCTGACCCTGATACTGGTATGGTAAAGAAACAATGTATTAACATATATATATGTTGCAGTATGTACAGTAACAACAAACAATGAGTCAATGATATATACATTGATAACAATGACTTGAGCAATCCAACAGCAAATCATCAATCTCTATACATTGCAAACACCTTTAATAGTATTCATAAATATTTTGACAATTATAAATATACACTCAATACTGATCAGCATTTGCTTAAAAAATGTTTCAGAAATGTATAATGTACTATATGAACATCACTCTTTGTTACAGTAATTATACCTCTTGAGCAAATAATCAGGCACATTACACTTATGCCTCTCGAAGTTTGTCTGCTTCAATAATGGCATGGAAATAATACAAACCTACAACCTCCAACCTTTTATCTGCATATTTCTGTCTACATTGTAGAAGTGTTCAGAAAGAGTAAGACAAGTACAAAATCCCATCATGAAAAACTCACACAGAGAAATCCAGTTATGGGTCATGTATTTATATTGAGGCAGATCGAAAGAAATACTGCAATAGATTGTATCAATTGGTTCATCATGAAAGAGAATGACCTGTAGTGAAACACATGCATTGTAAAGACGATATATGTTTGGCATACGTATGATGACGTTCAATATCAGACAGTGGGCACTGTGCTTTGGTTAACAAAATATTTAGAGACAAAATCGTTATGGATGATAATGCTGTCATGTAACTACTGAACAACAACCTGTGCATAAAGGGTACCTTGGAATGACAAGAATTTGTTACCATTTTAGAATTATTCTTTTTACATGGTTCCTTAAACAGATAACATAAGAACTGCAGCAATTCAAAGATTCCAGTATTTCTCTCTCATGAACATCAATGTGTTAACTGTTCAGTAATAATCATAGCATTCCATTTAATTGAAGACTTGCACCACAGACTAATGTTTTGTGGTTGTTGTAGATATGAAAAATCTTGTTTTAGTACAAGATTTCAATTGTAATAATACTGACTTGATATATTCACACAAAGTATGAATTAATTCCATGTAACCGGGTATGTGCACTGACTTGTGGAGAAATCATTTTGCAATTGGTGGTAGAAACTTCCCTGCTTCATCTACATTATTATCCTGGGGGTGGTCTTTACTTTCTTCCACACCGCTGTCTTGATGGTGAATCTTTTCTGACTGTGTTAATTTCTCTACACCTGAATCCTCTGATGGCCGCTTCTCATTTGATTGGACCTTTTTTGCTTTCTCAGAAGGGTCTTCAGAAGACTCTTGATCTTCCTTCTTTGTACCAGGATCTGATTAACACCAAATTTCACCTAAATTACTCATTTGATTGAAACAGCACAGTTGTGAGTTGTAACATGAACATTGCTGACATGGTGGAAAATAACTGAAATACCATATATATATATACATATTCAGTCTCAATTCATTCGCTCACTGACTCTAAACAAGAAAGGAAAAAGAGTGGAGCATACAAATACAAGAAATCATTCATATCAATGAGGAACCATGGATTCAGAGTTTCAGTTTATTTTGAATAATTATGTGTCAGGTATGGCTTGATTTCAGGTCTATCTAAATATACATGTATTGTGAGTGAGTTCTAGTCAATCACTTATCAGGTAATATATTTTTATAAATACTCAGCCCCTTATTTAGCAAAAAACCCTTCATTTTCACACTTATTCACAGTGTATTACCAAATCATTCATGAGGCAATTAAGGGTATTCCTTGAAGTATATTCCATACTTAACCTTATGTTATACAAAATAAATTACTACCCACCCCTGCCTGTCTCTTCATGTGTTTGCTCTGCAGACGTCCCAACTGGTGGAACTCTCTCCCGTGTTTTTGCACTGCGCTTCTCCTTCAGCGACATCTTCCACTCATCCACCTTTGTCTTCTCTGCAAAATGCATAGTGTTGACATATATTACTCTAAGTGACTCTGAATCATAAGGCATGATGTGCCAATAGAAGGTAAGATAGGCAAGTTAAATCTGAAAGAAACCCCACCATCATATCTTCAAGGTTCATTTCACAGACACTCAAAAAACAAATACATATGTAATATGTACTTAAAACACAAAACAATATCCAACAAAACAGACATTTTTGTCGCCTGTCCTTTGTGAAAAATCAGTGTGAATGAATCAGTTGCTGATATAATGAGCTCTATTCGGTTTCTTTAAATAATATCATTGTGTCAGATACATTTTAGCACCAAAACATATTTTTAAAAACCCAGATATTCACTTGAGACTACCACCTCACCATAAATATTATCATGAATTTATCAGAATTAAAATACCTGGACCCCAACAAATAACTGTTTTGTGGATAGTCATACCTTTTACAGGTGGTTGAGCAGGAACCTTGTAGGGATCAGGCTGCTGTCCCTCACTTCCTGGAGATGTATGTCGTTTGTGCTGCCCTTTCAGAACTCTGTCTTTGCGGTGAACTAGCCCTTCCTTGATCCAGTCATGATGCAGTGCTTCATCTGATGTCATTCGCACAGATGGATCCCATCTAATATCAGAAAATTATTTCGAAAATTGTTTTGGGGCAGAAAACAATCTAATTCAATAATTCATATACAGTACTGAAGAAATACTAAATCAGTCTAATTCATTACAAAAAAAATATTAAAAGAAAACTCATACTTTTGAGTACAGTTTGTACATTCACAAGTCTTCATAAATATCAGAAGATTGTACACATAGAATCTTTACAACAAAACAAAATTTTCAATAAATGATAGATGTAAGCTGAACTAACTCTATGCATCTTCTTATAAAGTCCAGGAAGCTAGCATCACTAGTTTTGATTGCTTGCTGTAGATCCTTGGATGCCACTCTCCTCTTCTTGCCTTTACTATTTGTAAGACATCGGGGATTACCTTTAGAATCTGAAACAAATCAGGAAATAGTGCATGGATATTCCTCCATTCATATTTTCGGTATATTAACAGTATATTCTAACATACACTACACTGAAGTTCATCGTAATAATAACTAATATGACTGATGATAGCCTGCTCAATAACATTATTTCAGTCATTATTATTGAACCATACAGAATCCATACACTGCTATCCTATACCCAGTGTATAAAATAGCTTTGAAATGTGGCCTTTCCAAGGACTGCTGTCCAAAAAAGTGTCCAGTCCTGACTAAATACAGCCAGTCCCAAAAACTAAAACCAGGGCTCCAGATAAGGGCCGTATCGGCGTATGTACGGATAAAGAAAATGCACGATACGGTAGGAAATAATTTAGAAAACGTAGCACATACGCACCACAGCAATGCTGTATGGTCTTGGAATCATTTACAGAAGTATTTATCTGAAAGAGTGTTGTTTTATTGTTTACTGACCTGTTTACACAAGAGTAGCAATGTTGTGGTGCATATATGAAACGAAACACAGGATTACTGATACGCCATTAAATTCCATTCAGTACTCAAAATGTTTTTTCAGTACTCCTATATTGAAAAAATAAGGAGTACGTACTGCTGATGTTGAAAAATTATCTGGAGCCCTGTAAAACTCTTCATTGAAACCAGGTAAAGTTTATTTTTCTCAAATATTTCCCCCGACCAAAGGTTGGCCTTGCTTATTTAATAGACTGTCCTTCACAAATATAGACCATCAAGGACGGTAGGACGTGCTATATTTTATGGACTGCTATACCTTATCCTGCCACATATCCTGCTATACCTACCAAAGAACAGCCTTCTCCTAGTTGCCTGGTCTAAGACATTCTGAGGTGGGAGTCCCAATACCTCCATGATGCAGGCTAATTGCTCCACCTCATTCTCCCCAGGGAACAAAGGATAGCCTGTGTACAACTCAGCCAGGATACAACCAAAACTCCACATGTCAATAGGCATGGAGTAGGGCAAACCTAGTATCACCTCTGGAGACCTGTAGAATCGGCTCTGTATGTATGTGTACACTGGAACAGAGGGACCATGTTAGATTCTCAATTTGCAAACATAAATCTACAAAGAAACATATGTTCAAACTATTATGATAGCTCAGTTGTACACTTGGTGAAAGAATATAAAACCCAGTTTTTAAATTTCAGCCAGAAATTTGTCATGCTCACTCACCTCTTTGATGCTCATAGCAGCTAGAACCAAAATCTATGACCTTTATAGAACTTTGACCCCTTTGTCGTAACAAGATGTTTTCCTATAAGAGAAATAAACAGGTTATTTTACTTTATATGCAAGAGACATTTTATCAAGTAAACATGGACTATCATGAAAACAACATATGCCTTCACAAAAATAGAGAGTGATAATACTGAGGCTACACTATATGTGATAATGACAAAAGGCATTGTTTTTGTTTTTTTTGTGATGCAATAAGGCTTATAGTAACATCTTAAGAATGATGTGGATCCTGTTGTATGTCACTTGTTAACATGATAGAATAAACACTAAGAGAATAACCATTAAGAGACTATAACATGTTTTGCTCCCATATTCTGAGAAATAAGAATTACTTACTGGTTTTAAATCACAGTGGATTATCCGTTCCCTTTGAAGAACCTTGAGACACTGAAGTAACGAGAAGGCAAACCTCCTGATAAGTGCAATACTGAATCCCTGGAAGTTATTCTTCTTGATCAACTCATAGAGATTCATTCTGAAATTATAAAACACATACATTTTTTTATGCATATGAAAGAGCGAAATATACATGGCATCTTTACCAATGAAATGAAGGTACACTAGCTACTGCCAGAAATTTTAGTATAAGTAATTTAGCCACCATTTTCTTCCAATTTGCCACAAATATTACCAGTACACTAGGCTAATAGGTAAAGCTGAACACATGTTTGTGATCTATACCTACATAAGTAAGAAAAAAAAATACAGATTGAATGAACATGCCCACAACACGAGGAGGTTACCATTATGAAACTTTCATGTTTACTTAATTCTGAACATATTTTTTTACATGATCATGTAATGCCTTAAATTAGACTTTTAGGTTTACTTAATTTACACCAAACAAATGAACACTGATCCATTATTCTTACAAAATTTTATATTCTTGTACCTAGTGTGCAAATTAAACATTGATGATTACTGCTGAAGTTGATGCATATAGCTCATAGGCACACAAAATGAGAGGAAAGTTTAACATTAATTCAGAAATATTCTTACCCCATGAGTTCGAATGTGATACAGAGATGGTTTCTGAAGTAAAAGTACTCTAACATATGGATGATATTGTACTGGTTGTCCTTGTCCTTGCACCGTAAAGCATCCAGAATCTTCACCTCTACCAATGCCTGGTGATGGAACCTGTACCATCACATATTATTCATGAGTCACTGTGCAAGTTTCACATTACAATTTACAGTGAAATTGATATTACATAAAATGTTACAATATTTTCTTAAAAGCAAAACAGTCTCTTTCTTTTAATACATTGATTTAACAACTTAAGCATGTTAACTGACTATGTATTTGGTAACCTTTTTCGATACACTTTTGTTAAATATGTTGAACAATAAATATGATATGTAGTAATGTAGTAAAACAAAGAAATTAATAAACTAACACTAAATAGAAACAAAGTGCAAGGAACCAATGTACAGAAGCTCTGGTATATTGTAGGAAAATGTTTTGTTATGGTTCCACACAAAGCAAATTCCCTCTTTCACTTTGCTTAAAACAGAGTAAATCAATTTCTACCTCTTCTTATTGCGAATTATTTTCACAGCAACCATTTGGTCTGTTTTGTGGTCATAGCATTTGACGACTTGACCAAAGGAGCCTTTCCCCAACACTTCAAGCATTTCATAGCGAAATACCAAATGATCATGCAGCACCTGACAAAGCAAACATAGACAGGCCAAGCATAAGCAAAGAGAAGGTTGAGATATATATGCAGGGATAAGGGTTAGTCACTCATTTCCAAATGAGCTCAGGCAATAGAGCATAGTGTAATTAATACAATCTGCATGGATGCACCTATGGGAGTTTGGACAAACATATTTTTTATGTTTTCCCTCCAAAAAGGATGTCATCAAACTAGTTTTTAAACATCATCTTTGCAGAATGTATATGTCAGAGACAGAATATGATAGGAAAGCTGCACAAACAGAGAGCTGAAAAAAAGCAGAAAGGTCATAAGCCGAACATTAACAACATATGGGGTTATTTAATGAAGGGAAAGGTAGAGATCAATACGTAGACAGAGAGACCTGTGCATGCAAGTGATGATGTGCTGTTTACTGGCAATAGTGACAATGATTGATGTATAATTAATCCAAGTGATTATACAGATGAAAGACTTCAAAGGAATACTCTACGTTAAAGTTTTCAATCATTCTCATCAATTTGTAAAATATGATAAAGACAGATAAGGAATCACTTTAAGTCTTACACAGCACATCATATGAAAGGAAAATCAGATCATCATACATGTGATATTCATCAAATAAAAACTCTGGATAAGAGTATCCTGAAAACTGAGGAGAGAAAAAAGAAAATCACATTGAAATATTTACCATTTTTAGATTTCTCTTCTGGAAATAGCTAATTTAGTTTTAAAGGTATCACATGTAAGATTTATTACAAGAAGCTGCAGTCTACATGGCAGGCAAAATCAGGCTTGATTGAGACACCATTGATTACCTCTTCTTGTTTCTGATAATTTTAACAGCAAACTCTTTTCGAATCTTGTGGTCAAATACCAGGACTACCTGACCAAAAGATCCTTTCCCAATCACTTCCATTATCTCATAGCGAAATGCAAGATGGTCACCTATAACCTTTGTTACACAGAAAAAGAAAAATATATTAATATTGATGTGATCTAATGGCATTCTGTTGGTTCTCATTAATACAATAAAAACAGGCCATCAAAATAAATCTGTGTCCATTTTGGTTAAACAAAGAAGACGTCCTGAAATATAAGCACCACAAAACACAACCAAGTCAGTTTAAATGAATCAGGATATCTGTACAGTATAATTAAACTACTCACAGGTTAATGAAACTGTTTAAAACTTTGTATTGATATGATAAATGACTGTATATATGTTACAGTGAATATGTCAAATCAGTGATTTTGTAAATCATTGAAAATTTCAGGGATTTTATATAATTCCTGATTCACTCGGTGGTTTCACAAAATCCCTGGAGTTCCTAGGCATTTAACAAAATCCCTGAAAATCATGACAATTTTTTTTACATATTCCCTGAAATGAATATATCACATTCTCAGTGTTTGTTTTGACAATACTGCTTGAAAATATTGCATGTGTATACAGTAACCAAAGATAAACAATATAAGGAAGTTGTGTTGACTAACTCATGGAATTAAGTTTGTTTAACTAATGAGGAAATGTTATTAGAAAATAAAGCAATTTGGCTCCATATGATTTCAGTTAGATAGACGAATAAAATACATCAACAAAAGGTCTCAGTTGATTGTTAGACTAACTCATACAGTAAAGAAAATCATATAAGATGATATTTGCATTTGCAGAATGGAGTCAGATAGAGAAGTACAATTTAGGCGTCAACTCTATGAGATTTACAACACTAACAAGCGTGTCTTGATTCCTAGAGAGAAGTACCCGAAGATCATAGGAGACTTTTTGGAAGCTACATTGTCAACTACAAAGAACAATGATCAATACTACCAGCTCAGAAAGTATGAAATCCTGGAATGTGGAGATGTCAAGAAGTTGATCCATAGAAGAGAAGCAGGTGAAGATCCCATCTAATTCGCATCTATTGAAGATACTTTTGACATCATTCAGAGAGCCCATTTTGCAACAGGTCATGGAGGCAGAGACAAGATGCAGAAGGAAGTAAACAAGAAGTACGCTAACATCACCCTCGAAGGGCTGACCATCTTCAAGTCGTTCAGTGTCAGCAAGAGAGAAAGAGGACCACTACGAAAGGGGTTGTTGTAATGCCAATTTTGTCCAAGAACTTTGCTTCTCGTGCACAGGTTGACTTGATCGATATGCAATCCATGTCTCAAGGTCAATTCAAATGTGTACTCACACCTTTAACGTCAAAGCGAGCAACGGAAGTGGCTTACCAGTTGTTAGATATATTTCTGTTCATTGGGGCACCTGCTATTCTACAAAGTGACAATGGATTTGAGTTCACAGCCAAGATCATTGATGAATTTTCCCATTTTTGACCTGATCTAACCATTATCCATTATCCATGGTAAGCCCACGTCATCCTCAATCTCAAGGTTGTGTTGAGCGTGTAAATTGTGATGTGTAGGATATGCTTACTGCCTGGTTAGCTGAACACAAGACAACGGATTGGATCATGGGCTTGAAGTTCGTCCAGTTCCAGAAGAACTCCAGTTATCATAGTGGCATCAAGATGACACCCTTCGCTGCTTTCACTGGCTCTGATGCCTCTGTTGGTCTCAACTCGTCCAGTCTGACAGCAGAGGTTGTTTCTAGACTTCGAAGCGAGGATGACCTACTCAACGCCCTGTCGTCGGATACAGTACCTTTGGCAGATCAACAACGAGAATCTGATCATCTTGAGCAAGTGCAATCAAGAGGCGCAAGAGCACAAGAGCCGCAACCAGAACCAGAGCTGCAACCAGAACAAGAACTGCAACAAGAACAAGAACTGCAACAAGAACACTCTCCATCAACAGACCTTGTTGCTGAGAGACATAAAGGCATCAGTGAACACAGGAAGAGGGCAGCTTAGTCGCAGATTCTTCAAGCAGAGAGAATGGTGAAAAGGAGCAAGATTGTTCCCTCTGAGGTTGCAGTGGGTGACAATGTGACAATACCAATTCCTGGTGTTGGCAGAGGAGAGTCGATCCAAGGAATTTCATAGGAGTTGTAATGGACATTACTGACAACGGCATGTACACACTTGCTGTAAAAGCTGGTGTCTTGTGTGGAAAGTATTCACACAACCAGTTTGATGTGTGTGCCACATCTCTCTACACAATTGCAGATATGTCGACAGAAACTTGTATCACTGAGATCTGCAGTTCGGTCAGAGTCTGTATGTGGTGGACAGGGTTTTGTGAAATGTAACTGTAATGGCACAAAAAGATGTCAGACACAAAGGTGCAAATGTTACACAAGGCTCGGGTTATGTGTCACTCTTCCCTCTCTTGCAAAAACAAATGTTAATACATATGAGTGTTGTGACTATGTTTCAAAAGATACCACAAAGGTACTCTGATCCATTGCATGATTATGGCAATTGAACACTGATGCATCATCTGATAGTGATAGATATTGTTTTTGTCACTTACATGTTGAATTATTTGATATTTTTTACAACATATTTATGCAACTATTTTTAATCTATAAAGGTTATTTTTCTTTTTATTATTGATACGTTTTTGTCTTTACTTATTACAAGCAGTATTGTCAAAACAAACACTGAAAATGTGATATATTCATTTCAGGGAATATGTAAAAAAAACATTCATGATTTTCTGGGATTTTGTTAAATCCTAGGAATTCCAGTGATTTTGTGAAACCACCGAGTGAATCAGGAATTTTACAAAATCCCTGAAATTCTCAATGATTTTACAAAATCACTGATTTGACATATTCACTGTAACATATACATGATCTGCTCCCCAAACATAAATATGATAATTTCTAGTCACAAGTAAGAACTCTGACACTAATCAGTGTATGAAATAAGCCAAAAGTACAGCCAGACATCAGGGCCAGTAACTTCAAAATGTTACCAGCCCAAAATGGATTTAACCAGACCAAATATGGTGAATTTACTCAGATGTATGGAACATCTAAAGTTTTTACCAGACCATCGGGCTGGCTAGCTGTAAATTTAGACTGTCCGTCAGAAATCTAGACTGTCTCGGTCGGTCGGACAGGCCTTATTTCATAAACTGCACTAATTCAACGTTCATCTTCTTTAATACTGGTATTAGAGTATGACACTTAAATTGTTATTTTCAGGTTTGAGCTTAATCCTTGTCATGGAAAAACCAAAGACCAACACAAAGTATCAATATCACTAATCTGTGAGTAATAATTATAGAAGATCACGATAATATGAGATAAATATTTTGATAACAAGTTAACAACAATCATTCCATCTTTCTCTAAAATGTATGCTTCCACTTCACTGATTACCTTCATGTACACCATGCCAAATTCAAATGGTCATGATCTATCAATAATATGAGTTTTGATAGTGATTTTCATAACTACTCATTGTATGGAGAATTGGAGAATTGTATAGTTATTGAACGCTGCATCAAAGCAACAAAAATAGCAAATGTAACGCCCCCCAAACATTGACAATAATGGTAGGTCTGTTCTGCACCAATGATCATCTGATAGCGTAGATTGTTGTTAGTCACAGAAACCCAAAGGTGGTCCAAATCACGCTACAGCAGGTATGCATTAACAGCTCTGTGCATGGTGTCTTGTTTCACACAACGACAATGTGGCACTCAGGTTCTTATATCAAGAAACACATACATTAACACATTTGACTCAGATTACAAAATCCAGGACAGTCCTCCTAACCTCTGAAGCCACTATTATTATTGTAGCATAAAGTTAAAATATTTTTTTTATTGTCCTAAATCCTAAACGTAATATTTGTTGCAGGGTTTTGTCATTACTTTCAAAAAACATGATAAATAGCTGCAAGAAAACCGATCCATTAATACAACCATGACTTTTCCCCTGTATTGTTTTAAAAATGTTAACAGTCTATCTGTCTAAAATTTCTAAACAGTATATTATGAACAAATTTAAATTGTTAAAAATTTAACAGCAAAGATACATCAATCCCATTAATATTCTCTAAATGTACTGAATGCCTACCTTGATGTATGAACCATTGTCATCATCATAACCATTGTTTTGAGCCCCACCAGGAATTCCTTCAATCTTCTTGGCTTCTAGGCCCATGAACCAAACTTCAGGATAGTCCAAAATTTCAGTTTGTTCAAATTGTGAAAGTTTACTCCTGTATAATTTGAGTGCCTCTGGAATAAAAAAGAACATAAGCACTTGCTACAAATTATCATTAAATGCATGTTTGCATTACCTTACATTTATGTTAGTAGTATTGCCTGAAATATGGAACTTATAGACCCTGCAGTTCTTATTCTAAAATAACATGATATGAGACATTGATTCTTCAGAAGTATCTCATGTCTGTAATCATGGTCACTGGAAGTGAAATTCATCATAAACTGAACAAGGGACATGTGGCAAAATATTTTTCATTACCCCTAAAGCCAACAACTGACGTTACTCGGACATCCTCATATGCCATCCGAACAATGATGCAATAATATTAAGTAGTCAAACATAGACCAATTAGTCACCACATTCACGCTATATGCTACAAAATCTACAACCTACCAGCAGGAGTCATGGGGATTTTGTTGCCATATTGGTCTCTCTTGGTCCTCTCTCCTGTGAAGGAAGATGCCCCTGACACCCCATCTGTCTGTTTGAGCTGGGGCAGGGTATTGTTGTTTTGTTCAGTAACATGTTCTTGGTGGTGCTTGTGGCTGTGACCATGTCGATCAGTGTTCAGGTGGGGTAATGTTGTGGTGGGAGCCACTGATGACCCAGCTTTTGCCTACAATGTAAAAAATGTTTTAATGATCATTGTAATTATGAAACTGGAAGAGAAGTCACCATTTGTCCTACACAATACATGAATTTTAAAATCAGTAGACATTTGTGTTCTACTCCTTGAGTACTTCACCAGTGAAGTAACCAAGATATGGGGCATTAATGAACTCTTATTGCCAACAGAGATAAAACCAATGTTCATAACAATTTTGTACCAACCTCCAAGTTATAGTGAGAATTCTTGACCCTGCTAGAGTTGGTCCCTTGCTTTTGGGTGGAGGCAAGAGAAATCTGGGTGGCATAGCGGCTTTCTCCACTCACACGGTGGGACCTGTGGAGACTGCCCTGTTGGGGACTCTGAAAGCAATGGCCACCATATGAAAAAATCTTAAACATCATCATGGCATGACAGAACTGTCACTTACTGAATACAGAGAGGCAAGGATTGGAGTTTATATTGTATTCATTCAAGGCTAAAAGAGCACAAAAGGGAGAATCATGAATAGTTGTAAAAATAAACTTGACTTGTCATGTTGGATTTACAACTCATTATAAGTGTATAATGTTTCCACATTCCTTCACTAACACTAAAACTCAACAGAAAAGTGTCAGCCTTCATCTCAGTCAGTCACCATTATATTTAAGTGTAAAGAAACAACATCTATTATCAGTAATTTGCAAGTACTCTACTACTGTTTATATGCCAAGTTTTAATAATTACGAGCAGTTCACGGGAGAATATCAGACATCAGACATCAGTTATCATTAGATTTCAGTAAAAAACACAATGGCTATCAATAATGATTTATAATTACTCTCCTACTATTTGTATGCAAAGTTTTTGATAATTAACAGCAACTGATAGGTGAATATCAGACACTAAGTGTCATTGCCATTACAAGATGACATGCACTGATAACCCCATAGTTGTAAGAAATAATTACTTATTGTAGATTCTATTTACCATTTCAAAGTTACCATGGAAACAAGCTCTGCCCTGCCTGGAAGTGCCACAAACTGAGCACTGTTCCCTTGGGGTGGAGACATTTGAAAATTGTTGACAGTATTCTCTGCTGCTTTCATTCCTCATCAAGCAGTGCTCGCCAAAATATGTACTTCTTTGAAGAAACTGCATAGGGGTATCATTTCTCTTAAAACTGGCCACTTTCTTTGGTATTTGAGACTGTATTTGACAGTGTGGACTTTTTGGAAACAAAGTAGTTCCACTGTTTTGAGTTGGATTCTTACGATTAAGCTGCTTAATTGGTGTGTTTGTTTGTTTGCATTGATACACTTGTCTTGACTTGCTCTCTGTAGAAAAGAGTCCATGGTTTTCATAAATGAATGATTGTTTGATCTGTGGGCTGTGTATAAAACTGGCTCTTGAAAACTGAAAATCCAACTTATTAAGAGTAGATTGACTAGAATCACTTTGCACCAAACCATTACCGGAATGTTTCAGAGGTCTGGGTATCAACTTTTGTTCAAGGTTTCTTGGATACCGAAAGCCATTTCGATATGATTCAGAGATATCTCCATCCAAAGCCCATGGGGCTCCTACTGGTGGGAAACAGCTTTCAGTGGCTCTTTCGCTTTGTCTTGATGACAACATACCATTCTTGTATGCCACAATGTCATGTTGACTATTAGCTATTTGCAGTGGTCTACAAAGACTTGCATTGTACCACTGGCCACATTGTGCTTTATATTGAGGTTTGATGGTCATTGGCATGTCTGAAAGGGCCACGAGGGGATTGAATGGTCCTGTACTTTGAGGAACAGGTGGAATACAGGATACAGCAAACCACATTATGACTGTTGGTTAAATCAACCAAAGTGTTATCCACTTTCATAACCGTTTCAGTATGTAACAGTTCACATGTATGAGGTAACACATAACAGCCACATGAAAAAGAACTTTGGTGTTTCAACACAGAATTTCAAGATGTGATAATTCACAATTCTTTAGGATCATGGCTGAAAGTTAACATTTTCAAAGAATCCACTTTCTACACAATGATTGAATCCTCTCAAGTCCATATGAAATCCATGAATGTCTGTTCTATATGAACAAATGATAAGTCACAAGTCCTTCTACAAATGAAACAGCGGTCTAGTCAGATACCAAACATCTCTTCCTCAAACCTATTCTGAAGCCTTTGGTGATATATCTATATATGTTGGGATGGTTACCCATGGCATGGTACAGGATTTTGTCTTGGAAATGCTAGTTAGCTAAAAGCTACTTGCCAGAAGCATTCTCTAACGTGATAATTTAGAATACCAAATTCATTAGGTCAGGAAGCTTGATGAAACTGGGTATCAGGCCCCAAGCTCTGTAAACATGATGTCCTGGACCAGAACAGGAGTGCACCACTTGATCTGTCAGCCTAATTAGGCTTAATAATGAGGCAAGGTTGGTAAAAGATAATACTGCCTCCAGTGAAGCCAGTGAAGACTGGTGTCATCCTTTGTGTTACATGTTGTATCACATGTGTGCAGTATCTTATTAACAGACACACTAACACGTGCGATTAGGCCTGATAATGAAGATTGGTAGGTATGTGTCAGACCATGCAAGCCTGTCAGTATTAAATGTCTGATGACGTTGTAAATGATAACAGATATCTATGTACTAAGTGACACAGAAGTAAAATTTGACATATGTCAACTATGACTGCTATTGGTATAATGTTTTATACATGCAGTGAATTTATACTCTTTAATGATATATATCAGACAAAGAAATGTGATTATTGTTTCTCTTCTAGGCCCACAGATCTCTCCAGAAATTGCTGATGCTAAACATATTTCAATGTCAACAAAATGCCAGTATGAATGACATTAAATTAATTTGAAAGGATACTGAATCATAAATCTTGTGACAATAACAACTCCCAGGGTCTCGTATCTATTTGCTGTTGAGTAACTTAAGTTCTCTGAGAAGGAGTTGCTTCCTCCTTAAGAATCCTCACTACCACATATATATAGACACTTGCTGTAAGCCATAATACTTCCCAGTGCTTCAAAGTTGCTGCATGTACATGCCCCCAGCCTCAAGTAGGAGATCATGGAAAATAACTTTTTAAGATACAATCCATTAAACAATAAAGATCTTCTTTTTTTGTTTTGGATAAGTTTCATCAAATTAAGAAATTCAACCCCACACATTCATGTTCATTCCCCTCCAGATGAGTTCATTTCATGACGATGCAACTCCATGGAAAAACCAATGAAAACAAATTAATATCCATTATTGAATTTGGTATTCCATTCCTGTCAGTTGCAACAGAAGTTTTCCAATCCAGCTGGACAGCTTGTATACTCCATATGAACACCCAGAATCAGGCAAAAACATATTCAAATGCATTCATCCCTGATGCTACAAAGTTTCAAATCCAGCGATTTAAATTTCCTATTGTAGAATGTAGTTATCCAAATGTTTCCATCACTCAGATCTTTCACATAGGTAGATGTTTTCTTTCACCCAAATGTTCCACCCCAAGGAAAAAAGGTCCAGTGCAGCAGTCGAAAGTGTAATAAGTGTGTTGGGAGTACTTCCCGTACCCTCAGCCTGACGAAATGAGGCCTTGTCAGAAGGTGAGGAACTTATATACGAACTTACGCGTGCAGTAAACATCCTACTTTTCATATTCATACAAATACTTTCACCTGAATTTAATCATCCTAAAATCATTTTCATGTCTTATTTTTGGTGTCCTTAAGTTGTTTATCACCAAAGTAAAAATACATATACATAAGTATGAGAGAACATGATCATAAAATGTGAAGTGAGGAGAAAAACAAGAGAAAAAAAGATGTTTTACATCTACGCAAGAAAACACACGGCTTACGATGGGTTGAGAAAAGATTAGTTGGGTAATTTGGGCAACATATCAAGCCATTTCTACTCATGTGCAGCCAATTGCAATAATGAGTTGATACAAGTACAGAAAACAGGCTACTCTAGTGCTGCTTTCTGAACTGCTGTACCCTCCACAATTTACAACCTCACCAGAAGAATCTCTCATGCGTTTCACAACAAACCCACCTGTCTCTGGATCACACATACAGATTTCTACACAAATATATGGCTGCCTCCATTCAAAACTGATGTTGCCTGCTTACACAACTCCTGATATGTTTTTCTGTCAGTACTATTTTTTCCTGTTTGTATATGCTATATGTTGTACAGATGTGTAAAACACATATACAAACATCATTTCATCATAAAATAATATCTAATGACAAAGGTGTTAATAGTTGGAAATTTGTTTTATTTATATTTCATTGAAAACTAAGAGAAACGTTTCACGTCCTCAAATATGGAAATATGTGTGTTCATCCTCAAAATAGCAAAAACATTATTTCACAATAACATACATACCTACTGAAGTTTAAGGAATAGGAAACAGATAGGGTCTCTTCCCTTAAATATCATTCTATTATTCATCTTTGTTTGTCAATTATCTTTACACCTTAGAAAAGATTTAATAGGATATATGTGACTTAATCTTTACAATTTACAATGTGATGAAGGCATTCATAAAGGTCAGTATCTGACCCAAATGAACTCAGTAGATCTGTTAAACATTCCCAAAATACAGTCTAAGATATCCCAACTCAGGTTACCCAACTGTTTACTTTTTTATAGCTTTGCATATGTGACATGTTTTGAAATTAGTTCATTGATTGCAGTACTAGAAACCTGTAAACATAAGAATACATGTATGTTACAAGGAACTTACAACACTGAACAAACAAGAACTGTTTCCCAGTTTACCAGCCATGGGTTCTTAGTGTAAGATCCTCAGTACATCTATGCTATGATTTGACAGGTTATAGAAATAGAGCAATAGATACAGATGATTTACTAGCCTCCATATAAACATTGCCTACAAGGGTTGTTAGTTGACTGGTGATAATTTGTATAGTTTATTTATATTGTATGTTTACAGTTTCCTGCACAAACAACATCTATGTTTATAAAGAGGCAATAAATACTCATCACAATGAAACAACAAAACTGATGCCTTTCAAAAAACAAAAAAGACAGGTAAGATAGTTTACCTGAATGATAACAAATATGTTGGGTCTTTTAAGACTGGAATTTCTAAAACAAGCTCATATTCTTGTTTTCTTTGGATGGCTGAATATCATAACAACTTATCACATTGATAAAATAAATATACAAGCACAGAAAGGTTTTCTGTTCACAGATAGGATATAATAGCAAAAAAAGCTGTAATGGTCATTTGGCAGATGATGCACACAATCGTAAGTATAACCAACCTCAATGAATATGACATTTCATTGAGAAATGATCTAACTAACTTTAGAAAATTGCAGAGTTTCTGTAAAAAAGATGCTGTATTCATTCACCTGCAAGCAATATAACTGGTTCCTTGCTGTCTGGAAAAAACATTAACTTCCCCTTCAGATCACACTTTGTCATTAACAGCTGTCCGTGAAATTAAGACTGATCTCTTAGAGTCACAAACAATTACACCCAACATCACTACTTAAAAAAAATACCACTATCAAACCCCATGATGAAAATCCTTTTGCTCTAAATCACCTCTCCTTACCCTCTTGGCTGGTAGAACAATCAACTTTGTGGAGCCCTTTAACTATTAGGTTGAGAGGTCAAACTGTTTAACTAGTTTAGCTCCAACTTATTCATATGCTAAAACAGGCATGTTGATGGTGAGATTGGATATGTACACTTGTACCCACTACCATATTTCCATGTTTATATTGTTTCAATTAACCCAATTTAAAAAATAGCATCACCATACCAATAAATACATTCCATATTAAGGCACTGTTTGAACTGCCCTTAACAATAAGTAATAAATACCTTTCCTTCTTTTTAGTTTCTAAATTGTTGCTACAGCAATATATTCTTACTTTTGTTCATGTCTAAATCTTCCTTGTTCACTCAACTCTGAAAGGACAGTGCTTGTGATTAAATCTTCTCTTCTACATGTCTTTTTGAGCAAACAGTGGGGATGAAATCACAACAGCAATATGATGTCCACTTTATTGAATAATAACACTAATCTGTATTGAGTATGTTGCTTCTATTACATGATGCACTGGAGCTATACAAAATAGCAAAACTTACAAGGACAAGTTAAGTGAATAATAACATATTGAAAATTAAAGAAAGTTTCCTTTCCTTATGAATGCATTAACATGGAAAACATTCCTTATGCTTAGGACCCACTGATTATAAACTGCCAGGCAAAAGAATGTATACACTGGAAAATTGAAAATTACAAAAATGACAAACATGATCAAAACAATGTAAGATCTAAAACACACGTGTGATACCCAAATCAAATACATCACAGTTGAATAACTACTTCTCATTTCTTTCACCATCAAACATAGTAATAGCATTGTTTGAAATTACCCTGGCCTTATTACAGCTGCAATATTACTAATACACAGTTCCTCATGTTTACACACTTGAAAATGAAATTTTGCACGCATAAAACTACAGTAAATTGAACATATCAGTATGAATAGATGTTGTTATAAAAATGATAATACCATAGAAATGACACAATTCCATATGATTATGAACAGATCTTTTGACAATACCAGTGATACAAAGAGAAAATATGAAATTGGGAAGTCTGTCTATAGTACCAGTAATGAGCCATACACTGTACGTGCTGTAATGGCAAGTGACTGGTAACACTCAAGTTTAATCTTGATAGATAAAGGGGAGCTGCCCATAGCAATATAAATATTTATAATTCTCCCCCCAATATTGATCTTGCACTATTGCTAGTGTCTGTCTCATGATAAAGTACTCCCACCCCTGGTAAGTTGGTGACCTTATGCCTATCAATGTTTGACCCAAATAAACAAATCTGGAGACAGAGAACTCCTAACATCAATTTTTACCCTTGTTCATGTGGTCCAACATTGAGTTCACTATTGAGAACATGCTTCAGGTTGCACAAGATACATACATAAAATGATCAGTGTATAGCATATCGCTTGAGATGGGTACAACAAAAAGCTTGTTATTTCTTGTTCAAAGATTCATTTTAACTCAAGTAGTATTTGACTGCCTTTTCAACATATCCAATGTTTCATATTTACCCTACTTAAGTTAAAACAATTACTGTTCATGTTAAGGGTAATTTTGTTTCCTTATGGAAATGTAAACAAGTGACTTATTGATCCTACTTATTTGGTGATCCTCAGAACAAGACTTCCAGATATATAAAGGAGCACTCAACCCAAATGCTTTCAACATTTACAAGTATACATTTCATACATCAAAATAATTGTTGCGCACTTGGGAGTTATGGATCTGAAAATGTATTATTTTACATCCTGGACTAGTGTATCCATAACAGTAAGTGTAATGTTTGAATGGCATGCTACGTGTCATTAAATCCTAATCCCCCAAGACCTTAATAATACCAACACAGTTGTTTATCTCATGTAATAATAGTGATGCTTTGAACTTATTCACCTCCCTCCAACTGACTAACATCTAAAACACCTCAAGCATCACAGCTACAGTCAGGAACCATATACATGACTTGTTTCCAGTGTATTCAATATAGCCAATGATCCTTTAAATTCCTAACCGAATAACAGGTGAATTGTGTGCATAGCCAATATTTTTTCATAAACCAGGGTGTGCCAATAAATCAATTAATACAATTATGTAATACAATCCACCAGTGGTGGCTTGGGAACTCCACCAGGCATTATTCGTTACTGGATTGCACACAGAACAAGGTTAGAACTATAGCCGGTTATTTGGATCTGTTTGCCTCACTGGGTAGCACAATACGTTCAGGAAATAGCCTTATAGATTACTGTGACTACAAACAGTTTGTCATTTGTTTTACATTAAGATAAATGCAAGTCAATACCTTTTGTGACACACACACTCATACATTAACAGAGTTTCTTAATAATTAGAACAAAGATTAAACCCAGTTTGGTACATAAAATACAGGAATGTTAACTTTCAAATAATGACCCAAGTCAATCAAATAATGACAATTACATGTAGTTTGTAAAAGGACAATATTTAATGTGCATACACCTTAGATACTTATGTCTGCCTATATTTTACTTTATGAACCATTTTACTTTTTCAAAGCTTGAAACACAATAAACAACTAGTTTGTTACCTGCATAGTATTGTCAATAATCAATCCTTCATGTTCAAAAAGGTTTGAGCAATCCAAAGTCATTGACCACAAATAACTTTTTTAAGTCTGGCATGTCATTATGAAGGTTGGTTTCAGTCAATATAGGCTTACACCCTGTTAGTACAAACTATACTGTTCACAGTTAAAATGTTATATTTAACCATTACTGTAACTGAGTAATGTACTTTGTATGTATGTAGACATTCCTTACAATAGTAGTAACAATACATTCATCAGCTTCATATCGTTGAGGTATCGTACAGGGATTAATACAGCCAAAATGCCATTGAGCCATCTTCCAGTATAGAGTATATAGAGAATACTACACAAGGTTTCATAGTCTGTCTCAGTCCCTGAACAACATTATTTTCCCTACT